TCAGATGTCTCAAAAGATTTTATGGAGTTAAAACTTGAAAAATGGACTCCTAGATGTGGGATTTCGTCTGTTCATTTGTATGCAGTTATCATGTGTCAATGTCACAGTTCTGAATCGAAGAGTTCTTGGGCTCTGTTGTATTTACTGCCACCTGAAGCCTTTTAATCAACATGACCAAACTCCTCAGCAATGTGAAGTTTATGGCTCTAAATTGCAAAATGATGATTTGAGGGTAGGTTTCATCAGCCCATAATATCTTGGCCTTTAATCAAATCTAATGCATTTTCACATCAGGAGAGTTCCAGAAGGGGAGATTAGCCTGTCGTTACTGAAATGAGTTTTGAATTGGCAAGTAGATGCGCTAAGAAATGCATTAGGTAATATTGGCCATGGTAATTACAGCAGGGCTGGGGGAGACAGAGTATCGAGGAGAATCATTACCAGATGGATGTGTTCTAGCTCCTGCCCAGGGAGGTGCGAGATCAGGAGGAAAGGTGCTGTTGCCCTCGATAAACACAGTTGTAGGTACTGTGGGGGACTAATGGGCTCACTGTGGTTTGCCATTCCCAGGAGCCCTCTCCAAACCATAAAATTATGAATGCTTTTTTATTGCAATAGTTTTTCTGTCTTGTAAAGGAAATACGAAGCTGAGATGTTGTCAGTCGTAATTGGTGTATGCAGCATGGGCAGTTATTATCATTTGTCAGATACTGATTATAAATCTTTCCCCAGGAAGTGAAAATGTAACACATTTTATATGTTGTGGCTGGGATGTATCGCTAATATGATTACTGGATGGCCGTTGTCAAGGTTTATTCTGGATCTGTAATTGAATCTGTAGACATAAATCTCATCCGTGAAAATTATGAAAACAATTTTGGGTTGGCATTTTGGTGATCCAATCAACAGTAAAACACACACATTAGGTGCCCCAGTACAACATGGGGTCACACATCTCTGTTGCTTTATTTAGGGTTGTAGAGCGAGGTCATGTTGGAATAAGACTGGGCGCTAATAGAACTTCAGTCGCTGAACAATTAGAATGACATAATAGGAAACATTATTGAAGGCAGCAGGCTGTGCTAGATTGCATTACTAGTGATCTCGCAAGCTTGTCAAAGTGAATAGACTGTCGTATTTGTTCCTGCAAGAGCAACCAGCCAATTTTCTGATGGGCAAAATACTGAGCTGCTACAAAGATGGACATAAATCGTATTTTTCAATAAATCGGTTGTGTAGCACCCACAGAGTTGTGCTGCCCTCCATGTCTGTTTGAATCACGACAATTTGTGAAAATGTTACTTTTTGTAACCGTGTTTAGCGAAGCCTGGTTATATTAATAAGACTTTCATTTTGTGTCGTGGACACATTGAGCGACTTTCACGCTTGTAATTCCCCCCTAACTCTCGATGAGTTGAGAAGATGAGGGAAAATCAATATGGCCGGAGAGTCCCCTGAATGATAAATTTTACCACTCTGTTGGGGAATAAGTCTCGGGGCTTTTTGGCTTTTTCATTTCCACCAGTACGAACAAGAAAGGTCGAGAAACGATTTGTCACCACCGGAAACCTGTGCACGAATCTTATTCAAGGATCAGGCAAAAACACATCATAGATTTCCAATTACCTTTTTTCCATTGTAATTATTATCGGTGATTTGCCTTTAACCATGCACCCTGTCCCAGGATAGCTATAAATGAACTTTGTCTGTCAATACCAAAAAGATTTACTTGTCTCTTGTATCCAGAATTTACCTTGAGGAAATTTGAGAGTGAGAAACGCTAAGGCTGTTTCTAAATGAATGTTCAATATGAGTCAGTATGGGGCTTTGTGCATATGTAGCCGAAGGTAGCCGATGGGGTTTTCTCAAGCAGTGATACATTAAAGACCAAGAGTTAAAAGAAACTTTAAAATGAAATAATAAAAAAGGAATTGGTGGAGATTTATTATGGACAGTAACAGCATGTTAATGTTTAATGGGACAGTTTAAAGAAAAAAACGATGGAAACAGGGCATAAACCGTTTCCGTTGCCTTGGCACTTCAGTTCCATCATTGCTAGAACTTGTCTGGTTTTTTTCTGACCTCACAGTTTATTGTGTATGCACTAAGTGAGTCCAGATCAAAAGTTAATTTCATTTGGAAGTTTGCAAGAACAAAGGGGCAATACACCAGGGACATAGCTCAATATTGCAGGATGGACCAAAGGATTGAAAAGCAATCGTAATGAATATGCATGCAACCACTTAGGACCAGATTCAAATCGGAAAATGAGATTCCGTACTTTTTAACCAGTTTTCCCTCTTGACTTTCAATTGCAGTAATTTGGCCCTTAGACTCTTCGGAAAGATCAAATAGAGAATTTGCATTTTGTTGATGAAATTAGTTAGAAAACATTTTGATACTACAACTAACAGAGTTCTTGTTGGAGGCATTTGGGTTCTTTCTCATTGTTGCCAATTTTTGGACTTGTTGACCGTAGGTTTACATGGCATATCAACTGAAATGGAAGAATATCATGAAATTGCCCCCTTTGTACCTAGAGATCAAATTTGCTCAATTGATAAAGTTTGTTGAAACATGGAAACAAGGGAATTGGAATCCGTCTGCTTTGAGCGTGTAATGGGAAGAGCTACAGAGGATCATTACACTTATTCTTTGGTCATAGAAAAATGATTAAATTTGGACAACTGGTCAGTACTTCACATCCATTTAACTTGTTAATTGAAGAAGTGTGTATGGATCAGTCCACAGGAGAGGTAAACAAGCGCACCATCGTCAGTGTCGAACATGAGTAAGAAATTGCTCTTTACACAAACCGTTTTTACGTACTGGCGGCAGTGCTCTCAGAATGGTTTCATTCTCTAGTCAATTGGAAGAAGCCTTTGAACATGTGGACTTTATCGCCTGCGTCAAAGTCTAGCGGAGGGAGTTTTGTGTAAAACGAGCGCCCCTTGGGGCGGCAAGCTTGTCAGGGTGATAGGCTGGGTCTGCGGCAGTGGCGGTATGCGGAGGGTCGCAGACTGCTGCCAAATGTAGGGATAATAGAACCTGATATAAAGGACATGTTGGACCTGTGTCTTGCCACAGGATGTGTTGTAGAACACAGCAGCCAACATCCGGGTTTTCTCTGGAGATCTGTAATTCATTCTTCCCTTGTCACCGAAGGTCGTTCCCGACTGCAGTTCCATGTGGACTTACCAGCATATGAAACATGATAAGGGTTATGTCACACTTCCGAAGAAATATCAAATTTTCTTCACAAATTTTCAGATGGGCCTGTTCAATCTTGAGGTGTTTTTTGTCTTTTCAACTTTTGACAGGTTTCTGGTTGCTAAGTGACAACAAGCACTGGTAACCAGTTTATCTTGAAACATTTGCACACCAAGTCCATTAATGCCTTAAACACAACAGCTTCTAACAAGATTTAAAAGCAGCAAGTGCATTTGCAGCTTAGAATGCAACCACAAAGCTCTTTGTGGTGACCATATAAAGTGGTAAAAAATGTGCTAGGTTGCAAAGGTGCATTTTATTGTCAGGAATCCAGCAGGATGGGCCTTTAAAAATCAACCACTCCATTAGGCTGGCCTGCATCTTGTGGCTTGTGAAGGTGAAGAGAGATCTACCAACAACTGTGTTCCAATTTAATGCCACTGCTATCTTGCAATCCAACCACCACAACGTGGAAGCGTTAAATGACACCTATATCTTTAATGGTGCTCCAAACTTGACATTCAGAATCCATACTCCACCAAAGGTGTGAAAAAAATTCAAAAGGAAATTTTTTATGAATCATTAGAAAGGTCCATATTTCTATTTATTTTGTTAAAAAAGTTAAGCTATTCATGAAAGAGGCTAGACTGAGTATATTTTTGTTGTTATCCAAAGTGCTCTTCAGTTGAGAGGAGGGTGTGACTGGTGGATGTTTGTTGTTCCATCATGAGGGAACTGGGTGGTCCCCCAAACACAACCAGCATTGTTAATTGGACCCTGCTCGTAAAATGAATTCAGATAAGGGTGACACAAATATTGCTGAATTATCTGCAGCAACTTAGACTCACAATAACACTATACTTGTTGGTAGCCATGGCTCTTGCTGTTCACTGAAAAGTCTTTGTCTGGCATGTTGGGCAAGAGGCAATAAATGAGAGAATGTGGCTTTGATGAGAAATCTATTGCTGTACATGTGCTAATGAAGATAATAAATCTATCCGATCATGCAGCTCGAAGTCTGCATCATGTAGAAAGCCATCATGAAGTAGATACGACAATAATGTCGCTGTTGCTGAAGACAAAGGCCCTAATTATCTCACAACTAAAAAGACAAAATGCACTGCCCACTAATTACGCTAATGAGCAAGCATGATAGTCCCGTTTGTTTTCTTGAACCATTGAAGTTAATTGGTCTTCTGAGTTTTATTGCCCTTACAGAATGATAATATATTTGTTTAAAAAGCATCCGTGAAACTTTGAGCTATGAGGAGCATTTAAACATTAAATGTGAAAAATGCGTATGGTAGTTAAAGGCATGGAGAAGAACATGTACATCAACATATTGATTTGAATGAGACTATGCTAGGACTGTCAGATATCATAAATATTTGGTTGCTCAAGCTTCGAGAGGCTCCTGGTCGAGAGGCTCCTGGTCGTGGGTTATGAGGGTGTTTCATATTTGTGTCCCTTGTTTGCCGAGTTAATATGGATAGTTTACTTGGCTTTGGCATCTCTGTTTGAGATCGTTTAATATGTCCCAAACAGCTGTGAAATCTGAAAGTCAAAGGTCACAAAGTTTCCCCAAGCTTTTCTCACCTTGCTTTGATCAGGCAAGGAAACTCGGGAAAGAAAAATGAAAATACGAAATTGTTGAATATTCTTGATCAAATATTGACATAATGGCTTCCTTTTCTTGTTGCTACTTTTAGAAATATGAAATGGTATTTGTACATGTTCCAGCTCTATGACTTTAAACAAAGAGTTTATGAATGTTTTTTTGTATGTTTCAGGTTCATAGTGAGTAATAGAGACAACGAAATCGACATCAAGTTAAGCGATAGTATAGACATCATATGCCCAACATATGCTCCGGGTACAAATGCATCAAAAATGGAATATTATATAATATATATGGTAAGTACGAATTTCTATCTTGTAAATACGGTAAACTATAGTTAAAACAAACTCTATGGGAGCAAGAATTTTGGTTCACTGAGTGAGAGAGTGAGGTTTACGCCGCACTCAGCAATATTCCAGCTATATGGCAGGGGTCTGGTTCAGTATAAGTGTAACTGTTACATACATTTCAACTTAAATATACAACAAGCGACTAAGTCAAAAACTAACATTATTTACAGTTTAGTATAAGCATGTTTATTATAAACATTGTTCACTGTATTGACTGAATCCATCAGTATACATGTTTTATTAAGTCACTGATATGTTTATAGGAATTTTCAATTTATGAAGACCAGTGAAGATCTAGGTTAGAATTGATCTTCAGTAATCCATGCTTGAGGTGTCAAACTGGTTCAGGTGGTCAGGCTCGCTGACTTGGTTGACACGCGTCATCGTATCCCAGTTGTGTAGATTGATGCTCATGCTGTTGATCACTGGATTGTCTGGTCCAGATCGATTGTTTACAGACCGCTGTCATATAGCTGGAATATTGCTGAGTGTGGCGTTAAACAACCAAAAAACATCCCGCCATTCTTGCTATGGTGCCCTACAGCAGTGAAACATACCGTGTGACACAGTGTTAATGATTTGTTTGTTGCAGGTGGGGAAATTGGAGTATGATTCGTGCATAATCAACAACAGATCCCAGGCCAAACTGCTTATCAAGTGTACTGTACCATTGGCCAGACCCCCTTTGCTCTACACCCTCCTAATTAAACAGTTCCAGTCAATCCCAGGCAACCCAGACTTCCAGCCGGGAAAGAAATACTATTTCATAAGTAAGTATGGGTGCATGTTGTTCAATACCCCAATCAGCTATATAACTATAGCCTGTGAATGATCTGTACCATTGTACAAAGTAACCTTAGCGCTAAGGTGACCGTGACTCCCATACCTAAACATGGACTTTAGTCTTAGCACTAAGGTTGTTTTGTACAGTGGAATCCAGGTCTGGGTGCCGTTGTACAAAGTAACCTTATCGCTAAGGTGACCGTGACTCCCATACCTAAACATGGACTTTAGTCTTAGCACTAAGGTTGTTTTGTACAGTGGAATCCAGGTCTGGGTGCCGTTGTACAAAGTAACCTTAGCGCTAAGGTGACCGTGACTCCCATACCTAAACATGGACTTTAGTCTTAGCACTAAGGTTGTTTTGTACAGTGGAATCCAGGTCTGGGTGCCGTTGTACAAAGTAACCTTAGCGCTAAGGTGACCGTGACTCCCATACCTAAACATGGACTTTAGTCTTAGCACTAAGGTTGTTTTGTACAGTGGAATCCAGGTCTGGGTGCCGTTGTACAAAGTAACCTTAGCGCTAAGGTGACCGTGACTCCCATACCTAAACATGGACTTTAGTCTTAGCACTAAGGTTGTTTTGTACAGTGGAATCCAGGTCTGGGTGCCGTTGTACAAAGTAACCTTAGCGCTAAGGTGACCGTGACTCCCATACCTAAACATGGACTTTAGTCTTAGCACTAAGGTTGTTTTGTACAGTGGAATCCAGGTCTGGGTGCCGTTGTACAAAGTAACCTTAGCGCTAAGGTGACCGTGACTCCCATACCTAAACATGGACTTTAGTCTTAGCACTAAGGTTGTTTTGTACAGTGGAATCCAGGTCTGGGTGCCGTTGTACAAAGTAACCTTAGCGCTAAGGTGACCATAACTCCCATATTTTACATTGACTTAAGGTAGTCTTAGCGCTAAGGTTGTTTTGTATAACAACACCCAGGACAAGACTCAACATGATTAAGAGCATAAGCACTGTTCCTACTTTTAGGTCATTGTGAACTGTAATAAGAAATGTCAGCAATACCTCAGCTTTATCACAATAGTCAATGAATGATCTGGTCTGGACAAGACCAAATGATTAATAGTATGAACACTTTTGGGGCATGGTGATCTGAAATTACCCGTCACAGATCGTAACATTTGTTGACTCTTAACATAAGAATATTTTACTGTAGACAGTTCAATGCACGACTCAACATTGTGTGATTAAGAGCATAAACAATCTGCTTACTTCTTGGGCATGATGCCTGATATAAGGCAAGTCACAGATCCCGATTCTGTTGACTCTTACAATGAGAATAGGTTACTGGATACCGAGCCTCTCCAGAACTAACCCCAAGAGAGTAGGCTTGTGTATATACGGTTCCGACACAAAACAGTTCAAATCTCATCAAACTGCCTATAGAAATTCGAAACAGAACTCCACAACTCCATCAGTGTGTTCAAAGCACATTTGCTTCATCAATAAACTGACATAGACCCCAAAGACAAAAAGATCAGAATGGTTTAATATCATACAAGGAAACGTATTGCTTGCTTGGCCTGTATGTATCGGGCCAGGCAATGCATGGATATAGTACATTTGATTCTATGAATAAATCAGACATTTCAAATCATATGTTAGAAAGACCTTATTTACACAAGAAGCTCTTTTATGCGAGTGTGTTGCATTAACCATGAGACTACAAATCCTGGAGAATATATGGGACGACCATTCTAATAGATATTCCATGTTGGAATGGTCCGTGTGGTTGACAACCCTGTTGATGGAGGGATGCCGTTGCTGCCATTGTCTGTCTGGTCAGTTAGCAATGGCCGATCCTAACATTACATATTCCGGTCGTGAGGGGGTGCATGGCTCCGAAGCACTAGAGGGTAATGACATATGAAGACTACAGTCCACCAGACACTTATTTGAAATTATGCGCACAAGCAGATCAAGCCATGTCCTGACTTTTCTGTGTGGATATTTGCAAGATGATTTCCGACTGTTTGGGATCCCCTACGAGGAACATGCCATCTTGCAATATATCAAGTCTGTTAGACATTGCCGTTGTTCGTGGTGGAGATGGGGAAGAAGATAATTACATCTCTTCATGCACTGTTTCGTTTCATGTCATGCAGACTTAGCTTGTAATTGAAACAAAGACCATGTCCATGGTCCAGCGGATAGCGCGTCTGCTACTGAGGTCAAGGTCGGGGGATTGATTTTGTAGCTGGTCATACCAAAAGATGTTGAAAGATGCTACTTGTTGTTGCCCTGTCTGAACTTCAGCATTACGGGGATAGAACCAGGACTGGTGGCTTGGAATCAGTGTTTGAGTGGAACATTCATGTTAAACTGTGCCTTCGTGGGCTTGTTTGTGCCTTCGTGGGCTTGCTTGTGCCTTCGTGGGCTTGCTTGTGCCTTCGTGGGCTTGCTTGTGCCTTCGTAGGCTTGCTTGTGCCTTCATGGGCTTGCTCTCAATGGGCTTGCTTGATAAAACCTGCGTACAAGTAGTAGTACAACTAGTACAAGAAGCCAGCACATTGCTGTGTATTAAAGTACAATGATTTTGGGCAGAACGTTAGACATTCACTGCTTCTGGTCATAGGTGGCTCTAGTGCTCAGTAGTCTTGAAGGTAATGTTAGAGTTTATTTTACCCCTTACAGTAGGTAGTAACAACCACTGGAGATTCCAGGGCAAGGTCAACCTGATGCTACAAGGCATGACCTGTCACTGTGACCCCAACAGAGTGGTTTGTCCCTCATGCTATCAACCATCAGTTTGCCTGGTCCAAAAGTTTATTTTGCCCCTTACAGTAGTAACAACCACTGGAGATTTCAGGGCAAGGTCAACCTGATGCTACAAGGCATGACCTGTCACTGTGACCCCAACAGAGTGGTTTGTCCCTCATGCTATCAACCATCAGTTTGCCTGGTCCAAAAGTTTATTTTGCTCCTCGAATGTTCACACAACAGGTGGAATATATATATACATGACTGCAATGCGAAATACCCTACATATTAATGCATTTGAGTTCAATGTACAGTAAGTTTGGAGAATGTTGGGAGCTTGTTCTCGTTTGTGGTGATTCACAACAAATTCAGAAAATGTTCACTGGAACACAATACCATGAGCCAGACATGTGAACCAAGCCATTTTGAAAAATGATCCGAGTTGAGAAAGCCCACCAGTAGCAAAAAGATCTATCTTCAATGTATGTGAAATTAACAATTTGATTTTTTCTGCAGCAACATCAGGGGGTGAAATCCATGAAATCGACAATCAGTACGGTGGAGCCTGCGGCGGAAAAAAAAACATGAGACTCATTCTCAATGTGTGCTGTAACGGTTCACAGACAGCCAAACCCACATGTAAGTTGCTGTCAGCTCGGCTGGGCCAAGGGAGAGAACTGTGTATGACCCACAACTTTGACTATAAAAGGGAGCTATATCTTGTTCAGCTTAGTTGTGTCTGTAACACTTATTCATTCAGATTGGGCTATATGATTTTAAGTGTTCGGTGTTATTGGGATTGTTTTTTAAATTATTTTCTTACTCTTTAAATTTGTTTTGATATTTCTATCTGTAGGAGGAAATTATTAAAAGAAGTGTTTGTTTTTTGGATCCATTTACTGAAAACATACATCAAACTTAATACATCATACATTATCTCAGGAAGTGGTTCTTTTGGTGTTTGTTTTTTGTTACTGTTTTTTTACGAAATATATTTTTGTTGAAACAACAAACCAACCAACCATAAGGTTTTCAGACCTACCACACTTATACAATTTATGTATGTTTACATTATTTGTGTTAAAGGATGGGACAGTCATGTGTGTTTTTGTGTGTTTTAGCTGGTGGAAATCCTGTAACCCCAGTTATTGATGTGACAACTCCTCGACCCAGGGTGACCACAAGGAGACCAACGACATCTAAAACAACTACACAAACAACTACTACTACTACGACTACAGTCAGGACGACACCCAGAACAAGTATGTACTGTTCATAGGAGTTTTATATTGCAATACGTATCGCAATATATGCTTTCGCATCTCAATATATCGCAATATGAAAATTCTCTGCAATACCCTCCCCTAGTGTCAATGAAGTCAGCGAGCCTGACCACCCGATCCCATTATTCGCCTCTTACGACAAGCCTGGGAGTGAAGATCAATTCTAATCTGCACCTTCATGGGTCTTCAGCTAGTAATTGTGTGGTAGAGTAACCTAGTGGTTAAAGAATTCACTCATCACAGAGGTTGCCTGGCTTTGATTCCTGCCATCGGTATAACATGTCAAGCTCATCTCGTGTGTGTTCCTTGGTAGTAGGGGCGATGGGGTAGCCTAGTGGTTAAAGCGTTGGCTCGTCACGCCGAAGACCTGGGTTCGAATCCCCACATGGGTACAATGTGTGAAGCCCATTTCTGGTATCCCCCGCCGTGATATTGCTGAAATATTGCTAAAAGTGGCGTAAAACTTAATTCTCTCACTCGCACTCTGTTTGAAAATCTACCAGCATGGTAGTTACAAAGAAGCAATTCTGCTAAACATGTTACATTGTTTAGGTGTTTTTCTCATTTCTGGTGTCCCCCGCCGTGATGTTGCTGGAATATTGCTAAAAGCGGCGTAAAACCAAACTCAGCCAGTCAGTCCTTGGTAGTATCACTGGAATATGGCTAAAAACTTTGTATAAGCATATTTACTCACTATTAGTAATGACAAATTGCTTTACAAAAATTGCAAACAATTATTCAGTGTTAACCTTTTTCGTCTTTCTGTTTCAGAAAAACCAACAAATACAGATCGCATTCCAGGAAACCTTCCCGATGAAAATGTAATTCATGCAAATGGACCTAAAAATGTAGGCCTTATAAGTGCCGATGCTAGTGATAGGACTATGGTAAACGTGGCAGTGCTCCTTGTTTCTGTGACAATTGCTCTGCTGCTGCGGTAGTCTTATCGCCATGTGACTAATGACTGATATCCTGGGTGCATCATAGTTGTGATCTCGATACTCACTGAAGTACCAATGTGAAGCAAAGAGTTACCTACCTTGGCTGAGAGTTACCTCCCTTTCAAGGTAGAGTTATTTCCCCAAATGAAAACGGTGACAGTTCAACTCCTGAAGGGAATGTAATTCCGGTTGATTTTCGAGCATCCAGATTGTTGAGAGGTGTACAAGAGGACCGACCGCCTTTGCCATTTCTCACTGCTCAATACTGGTTGAGATGGTCAATTGTGGACACCAGTTTTTCAACAGTTCCTGCTCAGATACACTAACCAATCAACGATGGGGGGGAATCAGAAGAGGGATATAACTGTTAACCCTATCCATGTTGATGCTCGTCTGGAACTTCAAGGGTTAATCCATGTACCCTGCTGAAACCCTATACCGAGAAGTCACTGCATTGATCTGTCATCAGCATGAAAAGGGTTAACACCCCAAAAAAAGCCAGTCCGCATTCTCGCAAGGACTTGGAAGGAGACATTTCTGCAATTTCAAGAAATCTGTGGAAGGAAGGAGACATTTCTGCAATCTCAAGAAATCTGTGGAAAATATTTCCGATCTTCTGACTCTTCCATACGAAAATCTTTCCTTGTGCCAGGTGCGAAGCTTGCCATTAATATTGACTTGAATGAACTTGTGATTTCATTTTGTACATAGATTTTTTGACCAATCAATGTGCTTTATATATTTGTCAAATAACCAATGAAATTGCTTCTTGTATCTGTGATTTGATCCAGTTGTGTGGTTGATTGTGCACACGCACCTGGAGTGTATGTTTACACACGTTGCCGTGACAACACACGACAGCCCTCATTCAAGTTTGAATTCACAAGGAGCTGAGCTACAGCTGCTTGGTTTAACCCAAGTGGTGAGATATGGATGATTCATCTAACAACACAAAAATACTGTACAATATGTGACGATGTTATGAGATATATTCAAATTAATATAAGACCAAGGAAAGGCAATCACTGATTGATCTTAATAGTTTAGTTCGATCATATAGATAGAAATCATTACTGACATCAGAAACATATCTAAGTTACTTCTTGATATTACAGAAAAATCACTGGTTGTATTTCCCTTGGTACACTAATGTATGTGTATTACGACAAACTGTTGATGCATTCCTAAGTATACCATATTCATGTTTTGTATAGATTTTGAAGGTCTGAAACTTACGCTATTTAACCAACAACCTAGTGCTTCGAGCTGTTTTATTTTTCCCAAGTTTTGTTCATATGTATCCTCGGAGACCATTATCCAGCTTTGTGGTGTAGAGCCATTATTATTTATTATTTATTTATTCATGTTTTGAAACACACATCTTTCATTTCACAAAGAACTTCAGGCTAATACAGAAGGAACAGCTGAGTGAAATATGTTCAGGATAACCTTAAAGATTTTAAGCATCTTAAAACTTAATTCCTTACTTTTATATAAATCTTGTTGATCAATTTTGGATCCTTTTTTAGTTCCTGCAATTTTTGAATAACTGCAAACTGTAAACTGTGTGCGTTCCATCCTCATGCAGTTGTTATGGGTGCTACACATAGAGGCAATATCTTAGGATGCCTTTGAATGGATGCAAAATATGCTCAAATATGAAAACTTCAATTCTGACTTAGTGGCTAGTGTACAGTTGCTATGCCAACGAGCATGCAATGTACATGTATATAGGCTCAATATCTTACTGGTATTATCTTTGAAATCTAGCTGCATTTTTGTGTTCAGAAATTTGCTTGTAATTGCAATTTTATGAAAAAGTCTTCGATTTCATTTTTCATACATTTGAGACATTTGAGTAGCGTGAATTGCAATTTTTTTAAAAGGTCTTGGATTTTAGTGTTTTCTTGGATTTCGGCTACATTTGAGTAACGTGAATTGCAATTTTTTAAAAGGTCTTGGATTTTAGTGTTTTCTTGGATTTCAGCTTTGAGTATTCCCATTCTCAGGAGGACTGACATGGTAGTGATCCTCGGTTGTATTGTGTATATGTTGTCAACTAACACCTTTAGTTTTAGCTTTGTAAATTATTCCTGTGACTATCAGTGAAAACGTTCTTCACTCTAAATATGGTATTTAAGCAGATTTTGAATGCTGGATGAATGAACGCTCATATTTGCCTGTTTTGACATTTCATTTGCTCTGATTACAAAAAAATCAATTTGAATTCTGATAAAAAAAATATATGGAGTATTATTAATGTCATAAACAAATGCTGTGAATGAGGTTTGGTAAAATACGGTGAACATGTCCTGTAACTTGAAGGAACAAGATTTGCGATATTTTGCCATACATTGCGTCTACAATCGAATGGCTGAGATTGTATGTATTATTGATATGAGCTGTGTGAATGAATAGTGTAATGTGTGCCTGAAAGATATTGTTGTTTCCGCGACACCTGATCATGTAAATTATGTTATCTGTTATGTGTACATTTTGTATATAGAGTTTGTTACAGAGGTATTGTAGATATCAGGATGGTCGTTTACTATCCTGATAATCCACACTGACGTACAGTGAGGTCAAAACGATGTGAAATTGACATGAAGTCTCGTGCTTGTTGTACAGATTCGTTTCTGTAAAAGTTATATTTTTATTGAAGTCACTTGAATTTAAACACTGTAGAATATCCAATTTGGTCCTATAATCAAATCTCAAAATTATTAAACAATTGTGTGAGAATTACACATTATTGACATATCAAACATTAGACTATGGGTGTACAAATGCAATCATATCATTAAGATAACAGCATTATGCATATTCAATCGACATAGTTGTAAGTTTTGTTCAACTCACATCGATAGACGAGTATCAGATATGGTAGAACCTGCTAAATAATTTGACGATGATATGATTACACAATTGTCCCATTCTGTTTGCTTGTTACATCTGACTGCTTTATTTCATTATGTAGCTTTAACTGTGAATATGTGACTTCACTTGTGTTACTGACGTTACCCTTTAATTTACAAATCCACTGTGTACTTTTATGGAGTTTAAATAACATGACACATCTTTGAAATCCAGTTGGGAGATAGGAAATAATATACTGATGGAAACAAGTACGGGAACACATTGAAATGTATGTTTTTTTTAATGTGAATGAAATTTGTATTAACAACCTCAAAATAATTTAACATCTAAAATATTGATTGGAACACACTGAAATGTATGTTTTCTAATGTGAGCAAAATTATTCTAACAAACTTTAATATCTGATGTATTTACTTATGTTGTTTAACATTATTTTTCTGAAGTGAAAAACATGCTGGTCTTGATACATGTTGCGCTAGTTGTTTCCATGAGCATATTGAGGTGATTTTGTTTTTGAAATGATTTCTCAATTCATTAATGAAAATTGTGAAATTTGCTTATTGTTATTTCTGCTCCATTTGAAACATTAGACAATGCTCTGCATAGAAAGAGAAAGATCCCTTAGTAACCACAAGCGGTACATATAGTAGCAAAGAGTGAGTGCAATATTTCTGTCACTGGTTTCCTCTGTGTTGTGTAAGAGAGACTGGTGATCATGTGACAACATCATGTGACTAGTGATCATGTGACAACATCATGTGATGCTTGGCAGGCTCAGTTAGATCTGAACAACACAGTATGTCAAGATGTTTCAATAAAATAATTTTTGTAAAATATGTAAGTGTACATTTCTACACTTTCAATAAAATGTATATACAAATATGAACATGAATTATGGTTTTGTGTTGGGTTGGCGTTCTGGAGGCGAGTTAGAATTATTGTGTATTAAGTGGAGTGAGTGAGTATGGTTTTATCCCGCTTTCAGCAATATTCCACCAATATCACAGCAGGGACACCAGAAATGGGCGTCACACATTGTACCTCGGAGATGTTTCGGGGAATCAGGTTTCGACCTGCAGTCTTCGGGGTGATGAGCAGATGCTTTAACAATTAAGCTACCCCACCGCCATTAAGTGGAGGAGGGGTGAGACTGAGTGAGTGGTTAATGGGTGGGTATTGCAGAGAATTTTCATATTGCGATATATTGCATGAAGTATTTTTATACAAAAACTACTTATAATCGAGTTACCTCTTGATTTATAGAGCAAAAACACAACAAAATCACTAGGCTTGATTAAGCTTTAATAACAACTTTTAATCATGATAAAATATATGTGAATAATATTTGGCACAAATGAAACAAGGACATATCCGAACATTTCCGAGTGTTACGAAGTTTTCCGAATGCAAGTCAAAATACCGGTTTCCGATCAGCGTATCGCAATATACGTATCGTTTTCATGTCTGAACCGGTAAATACCGGTAAACCGGTTAGATCGCGCAGCCCTAGTGGTTATATGCCACTATTGGAAATATTCCAGCAATATCACCGCGAGGGATACCAGAAATGGGCTTCACACATCGTACCCACGTGGGGAATCGAACCCGGGTCTCCAGCGTGACGAGTCAACACTTCACCCACTGGGCTACCCCACCTCCCCATGAGGTGAGAGTGAGTGAGTGGTAATGGTTGCATGCCACTATTAGCAATATTCCTGCAATATCACAGTAGGGGACACCAGAAAATGGGTTCCACACATTTTGCCCTTGTGGAGAATGGAACCTGGTTCTTCAGCCTGAGAAGTGAACGCTTTAACCACTAAGCTACCCACCGCCTGATATAAGGGGGATCTGTAGAGCTCTACACATACAGTACATGATGCATACAATTATGATACACAACAAACACACGATCAAACCCCAATTATCTGGACATTCTAATATATCATTGATAAGAAACAGACAAGTTTCCAGTTTAAAACTTGACTTCCGAATCCCTTTGTAGCTTACCATAGTTACCTCCCCTGTCCTAATTCAACTGAGGAAAAAGAACACAATCTTTATTCAATCAAAAGCATTTAATAGACAAGGATAAGTATTTTATCTTTTCCATCAACCTTTCACCATTTACAGATAAATTGAACACTTCATCAAATTGTGTAGCAGTACATAGCATACGTACCATGATACTTCGCCGTCACTTAGTCACCAGCTTCTTGGTCTAGTGGATAGAGTGTCCGTCCCCAAAGTATAGGATCTGTGGTTTGAACCCGCTGCCGTATACTGTGTCGACGTTCAGACTGTGGTATGGTGTCTCATTGGTCGAGCAGTATAAAGCTGGGCCAGCACACACGCACACACTCAAGCACACACACACGCACATGCACGCACACACATGCACGTCGCTATAAAAATACTTTTACTTGAACGCACCCCATTTTACAGCCCGCACCAATTCACCCAGGACCTCGAGATGGGATACTCTCCGTGAGACTATCAAGTGTCACACACTACAGCGAGTTTGCTGGAGAAAAACGCCCAAACATTTTATAAAATTTTTATCAATTTTTTATCTGACTTTCCTCTGTATCTTTGCCAATTTTCACTTTTTTGGGGCCATTTTGGATGACATTCATTTAATTTCCTCGAAAATAAACCGACCTGGAACCCTGGCGTGCCACAACGTGCCAAAACCTGGCGAATCCCTCGCCCCTTGTTATCAGGTTTGCTAGGAAGCAACGATAATCTCGCCGTCGAGATTGAAAAGGACCTCCACTAAGATGAGAATTTCAGAATCTGAACTTGGCGGAAGAGAATATAATATGGTTCAGAGACTGCAAGACATGTCAAGCGTGTTTGTAATTTTATGGTCGAAAGCTATATTTTTAGTGTATGCTTTCTTCTGTCTGGACCCGAGAAGATCCCGTTTAGATCTGATTTTCAGTAACTCATACTTGTCGTAAGAGGCGACTCACGGGATCGGGTGGTCACACTCGATGACTTGGTTGACACATGTCATCGGTTCCCAATTGCGTAGATCGATGCTCATGCTGTTCATTACTGGATTGTCTGGTCCAGACTCGATTATTTACAGACCGCCGCCATATAGCTGGAATATTGCTGAGTGCGACGTAAAACTAAACTCACTCACTCACTCACACGTCTGCCCGGCAGTAAATGTTAAACATACAAATGCAATGATCAACTATCGTACTGCATGCTATGTAGATAGCGTACCTCAATGTCATTTAGAAAGTGGTCCAATATAGCATATGTTATATTTGGGATCGCATTTTCCCAGTTAAGTAAACATTCTAGTACTTTTATTGGGTTGAGTCGCATCTGGGATTCGAACCCACACTCTCAGAGTCAGGTACCTAATCGCCAGCACACAAAGTCACCGATCTAACCCACTCAGCCACCACAAGAGACAGTACTAGAATCTGTACTTTAAGGATAAAGTGTAATCCCAAATATAACATATGTCATAACTACCTATATCTGTATACATGGTCTCTAGTGTAGTCCAACAGTGACATGTATCACATCGTAATGAATAGATAGTTGAACTCAAGGACACGGGGCAACGCCAGATGCTACCAGACTGAGACGTATTATCAACTGACTTGCATCACCGCTGGAAATCATACGTTATGTAAGTGTTTAAAGCACTTAGCGATGCTTCAGTGGCTGTGTATCCATTCGGATGCAGAACATGGTGTCGCATGGCCGTCTCAGTCATAGGTGGATCCGGGAATATTCAAGGGGGAGAGGGTGGGG